CTGAACCTTCAACCCTACACCCTAAACCCTAAATAACTTACTAGTTTCTGTTTTCTTTTCTATTCCCTACTAAGTCCGCCTGACCCTGGCACAATTGGGGCTAGCTGTTCTGAGCCCAGTCGTCATCCAAGCCTGTAGGGATGATTTGCCGTAGGGGCTGAAGTTTCAGGGTTTGGGGTTTAAGGGTTTAAGGTCTAGGGTTTAGGGCTACTATAGAGGGTACTTGGGGGCATAATAGTGAAGAATCAATTGCGCAGTTAAAGAACTAGGCGCTAGAGGAAAGTTACTTAGGTACGGAAATGACTTTGGGAATCGGCCGGCAACAACTTCCGAAAAGTGGTTCCCACTGTGCGAGCGGAAGCTTTCGCAGAGGCACTTCGCTTGCCGAAGCTCATTTTTCTTTGGACGGAGAGTGCCGAAAACTTGAAATCCCTCTGGCAGAAGCACCTTGAACAAAAAGTTCGCGGAACAGCCTGCGGAAGCACAGCATCGGAAAGCCTGCCAACAGTCTTCGCGGAGGACTGGCAGAAGGTCCGCGGAAGCTTACGGGCGGAAGCTTCCTTGTTATTTCGATTAAATTTATATACTTACTTTTTAACTGCTCAATTGGAAGACAACACGGAAAATGAAATGGAAGCTGCCACTTAGGATGTAGGGCGTAGGGACTAGTGAAGATTCCGAAGGAAAACTATAGCACCGGAATTGGGATTACATGGGGATTACATTGGGATTACCCCCTAGTTCCTGGATATGCCAAGCAGCTTTCCTCTCCATCAACCCTTCTTCGACACGTGCAGGCAATCCTCTCGGAAGACGTGCTGGTCTCTTCTGGACCGTGGGATGCAATTTCTTTGGTTTGGGGTTGCAGTTGGGTCAATCCCGAACCCAGTAATGGGTACCTCAGGGGACTATTGTAGGTATATTGAGGCCCAAATTAACTCCATATTTCAGGGCTATTGCTGTAGGGGGGGATTAACATGATGTTTGAGTGGTTATCTGTCTTGCAGCTGTTAAGTATTGGGCTTCGCCGTTTCTGCTTTTGGGTTTGGCATATATCAAGACCAATTGACTTGAGGTTTTGCTTGGATGTTGGCATGCATCCCACTCCTGCGATCAGCATTGCGTGGGCTTTATCATGATCAATCTTGCCGCCCCATTACGGATGCTCACGAATCTTTCACGCAAAATTGCAACGCGCGGATGCTCTCTGCAATTCCAGCGCAGCCTAGCGCGGCTTCCTACTATTTTGTGTGTTTTGTTCCCGATGCGCTGAACTCGGAAAGGCTCTGGGTGCCTCTTGTACCGTTTCTGTGGCGCTCTTCGCTTCCCAGGCGATGGTTTGGTAACACGTTCATTCCAGCAGGTCTAGCAACAACATATTAGTAATAGTATGAAGCTGTACATTGTACTGCATGTGGAAGTTACAGAAGCAGCAGCAGGAAAGATTTCTCGTGATCAGAGCAGGCAGTGAACGCGTGACTTGTAATTGTGTTAGCTGTCAACTTGTCGATTCCCTCCTGCTCGTGCCGCGAGGCAGTGCAAATGCCCCACATCCTTGGGGGCAGCACTATCGACACGTTCTTGTGGCTTGGTTGGCTCTACCCGCCAATCTTACTGTTCCTTTATGTGCCTTGTCTGGAAGGTGAGGCTGAAATCTCTGGAGTTCTGGTAGTCCATGTAGGCAAAGCGAAGGTTGAGGCAGTTGAAGTCAGGGCCCACTTCAAGATTAGTAATTTAGAGTTGCTGGCTCTTTTTGCAATGCTTGTACGGGCGATTGTGCAGTGGCTCCAGCCTGGCAAACTTGGATGTTGGACTTATGGCTTGCAGTTAATGATTTCTGTCTTTCCTTGCATAGGCCAGTGTGGCACGTGTGTGTACTTAGTCGGCTCCGCGTTTCTCTGTTGGCTCACGCCCATTCTTCATCTCCCTGTCTTTCAACCGTTTGCAGGGTCTAGGTGTGAGTGCAGTGTCCATGTTCGCCTGCGCAGCTTTCTGCAGATTGTATTAGCTGGGCTGCCCGTTCCAGTGATACTTAACTCGCTTCCAAAAAAACTCCTGGGAGCCCCTACAACTTCCAAGGCAATGTACCGGGCCGCATCCGTGTCGGAGAAAGCGATGAGAGTGGCGCCTTTGGTGAACTCCTGGGTGTTTGAGACCGAGGACTCGTTCTTGCACAGCATTGTTAACTCACATCCAAAGGGTCCAAACACAAGCGACATCTGAATCCAAACCCAACGCATCAAAGTATTTGGCGCTTGTTCTTGGAGCAAGGTCAGGGCTAGAGTGTAGAGATCAGAAAGTTATGGTTCAATTCCAATCTTTGGCACGGGCTTTTGGCATGCTTGAAGGCCAAAAGTGCAGAGATTGCGTTCTTGAAAAAAACTTCCATGCTCTCATCCAAAATTGAATGTCTACTGTATCATAGCCTCACGCTGATATAGACGCATGCCTGTTGGCTTGCAGTTGGCTAGAATCTTTCTCGGACACCTGCGCAGGAGGATGGGGAAGCCGTGGCAATGGACCCAGGGAGGCAGTACGTGGTTCAGTTCATCAACCAAAGCCTCTTGCATCCGCAATTGATGAGGTAATTCTTGATCTAAAGCAAGCTATTCTCAATTCACGGCTACAGAGAGTAACCATGTTCTTTTTTCCGATATGCCCATGTTGTTGCAGCAGATCTGGGTTGGGAAATCCCTTTGCCTGGGCTACAGTAGTCCTGAAGTCCACATAAGCATGTCACTTCATTGGAATTGCATGGACTCCTTGCGCGTGTTTCAAATTCCATCAAAGGCGAGGCAGGCTTCTACGCTCTTGGCGTGCGAGTCTCCGCGTTTATGGTACAAAAGCTTGCATATTATTGCTTGGCTCTGACTGTTGGGTTCGTCGCCAATCTGACGTAGCTTTGATCCGGATAGCCACCTAGAACAGATATGTGACAAGCTTTTTGTGTCCCTTTGAGAGCCGTGCAGTCTGGCTAACATTTTTTTGGTTCGGGCTGCGCATGCACCGTCAGTCAGAAGCCAAGCTAACCTGCCCCTTCTAAATTTGCTTTGTTATGTTCAACTTCAGCTCCTCGGAGAAGAAAAGCAGAGCACTTCCAGAATGGCCACCTTCTTTTTCACTAGGTGTAAGGGTGGCCACAGCTGACTTGCTTCAGCTTCCCAACCTGGCACAGACCAGAAACATTCCGATAATACGTGCTGTCGTCCAACGGCTTGGATAATTGTTAGCAAAAAGTCGACATGACTGCATGCTTATGTGCAACTTCTCGTACAAGGGAGCAGGAAAGTGGCGTCACCCATGAGGAGTTGCTTTACTTGACGACCTAACAGTTGTTGGCTGGGGTTGTGTTGAGAAATCCAGATCCAGGCCTTCACCATCACATGTCATGGGGTTTGTGAGTTTAATTGCTTTTTCGCTGAGTTCCTGACTCATTTTGAAGGACGTGGCGTGTGGGGAAATGCTTAGTCATTGCAGTTGGTTGCAGTGGAGGAGAGCAGCAGATAATTGTCTAGCAGGACGCATGGCCAAACTGCCCATATTACTGCATAGGAACCAGAAAGCAGGCTTGCACAAATGAGAAGTTCATTCTGGTGTTTCATGGTCTGCCAGTGCAGAATGGTGCGGAAGCATCACCAATAGCAGGATCATTTTTCAGTTGGTCCGAAGCAGATTCGCTTCAGATAGGAACATATGTTCCTAGGAAGGATTGCGCTGAAAGATGCGCAGGATCCGTCCAGCAGCGCCACTCAACTGCGTGTGCAAAATCATTCTCCGGCTCCGCCAGGTTCAAGGTGAAAGGGGCCAGGAGGGAACAAACAACTTTGGAGGACTTGTATTTGCCGAATTTTGGGGCCTTTGCAACAGGACCTGGAAGAGGTACGCTGAGTCGCCATGCATCTTATGCTCCACTACCAGTTTCGCAATGAACGAACTGGACAAGGACATGAGCATGTACTTCCTGGTTTCTGCAGCTTCAAAGGGAGAGACTGTTATGGACATTCTGAATGCTTGGCCCGCTCGGTTCTTTTCACTTAGGCAGCTGAGGGCACTTTGCGCTGCGGAGAGTGCAATGAGCATGGCTGTTGCACGTTTTCGTGTTCGTGCACTTTGTATATACATAAACATACAAAACTGACTGGTGTTATGGTAAGCAAACAGGGAGGTGCCGTGGCATCCAGAAAAGCGAGCTACCCTCTATGTGTTAGTGACAGCTACGTTGGGTGTTGAAACAGCTTTCTGCACAGAAGCCCCCGCAGCGCAAATCTCAAGCTGTCAAGCCTTGCTGGCAATAAGTCCCAGACGGGCCAGTGATGACTTGGGTAGTTCCCAAAATTGGGTCCCATTCTTCTGCCCGTAGATATTGTTGGGTAGGTGCTGTAATATATTCTGCAACCAAAAGGGCCCCAGATTTTTGAGAACAGGTTTATCTTCTGGCAGAAGAGTCGACCGAATCCACGCCTTCACTTCTTCGTCTGAGGCCTGAATTGGCACCATTTGGCGAAGATCAACTTGCAGCCACCCGGACGAGCAACCGCTGCCCATTGTTCACAATTCAGGTTGCAGGCTTGGGCAAGGTGTCAATCAAGGTGATCCTTTGTACACTATTAGGTCCGGTGTATGCTCAAGTGCTTGGGTCAAGCTGACTGACAGTCGTCCAGTCCCAGGAGGGGCGCCTGAGGCGCTCTCTCTCTATCTCTCTCCATTTCAGTCGGAGAGGGATTTCATCGGCAAAAAAGCTGGACACCATGTCAAACAAGTGGGCTTGAAAGTTGCTGACCTTACGGGGCCGGCTTTCAAGCAGAAGTTACGTGTGCATCTCTTGTGTCTTGTATTTCTCGAGCTAGCCTTCAAACCACATGTGTTTCAACTCATGTTACAATTCAGAGTTTATCTAGAAATTAATCCGCTGCGAATGGAAATGTTGCATTTGGTGTGAGATCCATGTATGTTTAGGCTTGAGTCTTCCATGATGTGGAGAATGTCTGAATTTGATGCGTGATTTCACATTTCCTTCTGCAGCCAGGGTATTGAGGTCTCCACAACTCCTCTGGGCCTTTGGCAACTTATCTTTTTGAAGCGGCGTGCCTGGCTCATGCATCAAGTGAAGCAACAAGAGGAACGGTGTTTTAGCAGCTACTGTCTCAACAGCTGCCGTTCAGAGCCCTGTGCAGAGCTTCATGACTCAAGGCTAAACTTTTTTCCGGGTGAGATGTGGTGTGTGTGTGTGTGTGACTGCAAAGGGCTAGGGACATGTGCACCTTCACAAGCCACGCCGATCTGGCTGACACGAGCACCAGGTCCGGGCTAAGTCTTCCTTGCTTGGGTTGTTGCTGTTAGATTTTCTCCCGTTTTATTGCGATAACCATGTCTTGTTGCTAAGCAGCAAGATTTGGGAAGATCCAGTTATCACAAGTTGATGTGCTCGGCGCTGAGACGCGGTAAAAATGCAGACGCGGCCTAGGTACTAGGTACTACAAAACCAGCACTCCTGTGTCTCGCCATGAAAACCCGCAGATCGCAGCAGGTTTCCAAGCGCGACTCAGTCAAGCTTTTGAATGCTGCCCTGGCCTCAGAGCCGGTTTCTGCCTCCCAGAATGGTTTTGCAACGCGTAGCTGGTGAGGTCCTGGCGCACTGGTGGGCCCCTGCCAGAGCCTGAGAAGCAATTCCTGCCTTAAGGTGCAGTCTTTCTCATCCTGTTGTTGACTACTTACCTGTCTGCTGATGCAGGGCCCTTGAGTGTTACCAAAGCAGTGCTGCAGTGTAGTCGGATTCTGCTTTGTTGCAGAGCCCTATTGAAGAGCAGACATTTCATCTCGAGGCTTGCCATGCACTCACAGGTTCACCTTCATCAATCTGTTTTTGCCTCCCATGGCTTGGGTTTGTGTATGATTCCGCTCCTTCCTCTGCCTTTGATCGTATGTTGAGCTTGCTATCTGAAACATCATGCTTGCTCTGCTTCTGAGGAGCTTTGCTGGAGCCGCCTCGCTGTTGAAGTATTTGTCATTAGGTTTGCCACTACTACTCCATTTAAAAACCCATGAACAACTTTCCTTCCCTAAGGGCGAGCCTACTTGCAGCAACGAGGCTAAATGCAAATCAGAAGACTCTTTTCAGCGTCCGCAAGACACCGTGGCTGAACGTGACAAAGAATCCATGCGCAGCCCCATGCAGTCCTGAACCTGAAATCCAAAATCCTCAAATCCTGGACCTCGAACCCAAAGCCCGAAATCCCAAAGCCTAAAGCCCTCCATCCTTGAAAGCCTAAACTCTCAACCATACTAACACCTTGAACACCCAACGAAAAACAAAAACAAATCCCTCAAATCTAAAGCAGAACCTGCACGGCGGTTGATCTAGAGGCAGATTGCCAGCCTGCCAGTCTAGGTTTTTGTGGCTGAGGGTTCATGTAGATTGGAGCTTTGGGCGTAGGACTCCAAGGCCTGTTTCTTTATTGGGCTTGGGGTTTCAGGTTCAGGGAGCATTTGCCGTGTTCACAACCAGCAGCAGTATTGTGTATAGGGCATGCTCCACCCATGCAAAAGTCCAGGAGGCCACAGGGTTACCGGCCCAAGTTTTTGGGTTCAAAGGAGTCTGCGAAGAGAATGCCAATATCCAAAGGAAATCGCTTAACTGAAAGAACAGAACGTAGAGGCCTGAATAAAGAGAACATGTTAGCCCCTAAACCTTTAAATCCTTCAAGCCGCAGAAGCTCCTAAAAACGCATGAGTCAAGCCCCCTCAGACCTCCTAACCGCCGCACTGTCAATCCCTTATAAACCCCTCATGAACCCTGCAATAGCTTCGATGTTCTTCTCCATTCCTCCGGTTCCTTCTCACCATCAGCAAACTTGAATTAAAAACAGCGTCACGAATCTGCATCCCATGACCAGCCATGTGGCGTATGTGACTGACGCTTTCTGGACATGAGCCGACCTGCTGATGGAGGCATCATCCAAGTGGCCCCCAGGGCTTGCGGAAGTCTTAGCCAGGGGCTTTTCGTGAACAACTCTTTTTTCCAGCCCGTTATGTTGCTGCACCTAGATATCTGCATTCCAGTGTTTTTTGACCAAGCAGCTCCCTGTTAATCTTTCTACGTTTCTCTTCTTGTTGCTTATGATGCCTATGACTGTCAGGCAGGTTTTGGCCCTGTTGTTGCCCAATATTGTTACAGACGATGTCAATTAATGTATATTATTATCGCCTGTATCACTATCCTGTTCAATGATGACTTGGCCGCAGCTTGGCGAAGAGGTAGTGGGGCAACCCCCAGACTCCCGTGTGGCGGCCCGTCAACTTCGGCACACCGCGCCCGAGGAGGGAAAGGGAAGTGGAAAGTGGGGAGTTTTAATATACGCCCTGAACCCTCAACCCATGATATGTGTAGCTTTCATTTTCTGATCCATTACCGAATATGTTTGGGATTTGATCCAGTACCCCTGATGTTTGGGATCATAACTGAATTTGTCAATTTTATTGTCTGGGTTTCTCTTTCTCTCTGTCTCTCTGGCTTGTTTCATGGGGCGGGCTAGAACCTCAGGGCGGTTGTTTTGAGGCATGTTTTGCTTCGGCCATAATTGGGGCTACCAAGGGCGCAGGCATAGGATTTCTGTCAGACACATATCCATGGAAGACTCATGCTCACCGCAAACAAGCCATTTGAAGTCCAAATTTCTTCTGGTAATCCATAGCTCATTCAGCGATCACTGGGTTTGTAGCGGGCTTTCGTTGCAGACTTATTGGTGACTGTGGAAGTTTGAGCCAGGTCGGCTTGGCAACGCTTCGAGCAGCTCAGAAAGAGAAACAGTGTTGATAGGTTTTGCATGAGAGTCTTGAGGTTCTGCTGCCGAGTATTTGATTTCGTAGTTTCCCTACATAAGGGACCCCAATATAGACCCTA